CTTTTTCTCCCGCTCCAGGTCGGGCGGGGGAACTCCTCCTCTCCCTCCTCTGCTGCTGCTGCCGGGGCCGGTAGCGGGGCCGTAGCTGCCGGTGGAGCCGTAGAGCCCGGAGGCGCCGTTGTGGTTGTGGCCGGCGGCGGCGGCGGCGGCGGCGGCGTGCGCGTGACCGCCGTGCGGCTTGACGCTCGGAGGAGGAAGGGGAACGCGGTCGCCGCCGATGGCGTTGCTTTCGCCGCCAGCGTCGCTGCCGAAGAAGGTCGGGCTGTCGTCGTCGTGGTGGTGGTTCCAGTCCTTCGGGGAGAGGACGAGCAGGCGCGCGCGCGATAACAGCTGTTTGGGGGTGCTCGGTAGATATATGCGGGGCCTCCGGGAGGGGGGGGTACGTGGATGATGATATGCTATGGACATGGCGATTATTTCTCATGTTCTTCCTTCTCCTCCTCCTCGCCGCCGACAAGCGATATGGGGTCATGCACGACCTAGGGCTGAGAAAAGAAGGTTCCACACCCTGTACTGCTGTACCTGTACCACCACCAGGTGGCTGTCCGCTGAAAACCTTTTTAGTCGCACAGGCTTCCTCTCAAAAGGGTAGGTATCCGACAGGCAATCACCTACGATAGAGTCGTGGTGCAGAAGGTTCCCGGAAGTCTCATGTTGAGAGGGACAGCAGCTCCCAACGCTCGCGCATGACAAACGAGGCTCTCAACCCACCCGAACAAAGCACTACAAGGATGTCTGGTTGCAGAGATGGGACGACAAAAAAAAAGGCGGCCTGGCCACAACCGACTTTCCTTGATGGGTGTATTCTACCAGCCACCATAAAACCGAACCATGTGGTGCCATTTCATTACTCTTCTCTCGTTGAAAACCGTGTACCAGCCACCAGAAAAACTACCGTGTTGTTTACCTTTGCCACGCCCCCCACCCCCCAATCGCAAGGATGATGGCCAGCTTCTGGTTCAAGGATGACTAGCCTGGGCCGGCGAAAACCCGGTATATCGCTCCGTCCCGGCATTGCGAGGTGAGTGGACTAACAAGTACGGCAGGCGTTTACACGAGTACTCCCCCCCCCCCCCCCCCCCAAGGGACAACGACTGCTCTCATTCTTTCTTTGG